TAGTTCAAATCCCCAATAAGGAGTGTTCTGAATTTGGGTGATTTGGCGGGTTTTAAAGGTTTTCTGCCTATTTGACTCTGTCGTATAGGAGATGGACTCTCTATCCATTGGGCCTGGTTCTTTCTGAGAAGTATGATAAATTCTTAGGTCCCTTATCTCAAGTAATCTTCCTGAAAGAGGCCTTGAACCCGTTCCATATCATTATCATGTAACCTCGTCTTACCACAGCTGGGGCCAAGTTCATTATGTTATTCTCCGATACCAACAAACGTTCTATGAGCTCTGAGTGCGTAGCTTGCCGTGTCGTCTCTGAAGGCTTGTGTGGAGTTAGGCAGTGGGTGATTGGCGGCTGTTCTGGTGTTGTTTGCTCTGTCTTTCCTATCAACTTTATCGTCCTTATCTCTCCTTTTTTGTCCGTGTTTTAAACTCCGTTGTAGCACTTCTAATCTTCTTCTGCACTTATATGAGCTTATTGTACAGCAAGTGCCGTAAAACGTTTACTAAAAGGAAAAACAAAGTTGTTAGGCAAACATGGATTTGTCACGTGTCACTATGGTGTGGAACCGCGGACACAAACAGCTACTGCCGGAAAAATGTGGCTTATATAGTGAGAGAGTGAAGTACTGGCAAGTTCTAGCAATTAACTAAGTGATTTGTAACGACTATGGGGCCTGGGAAAGAAGGGAAGGGGACAGGGAGTGTGGGTGATCTGGAGAGAGAGAGAGAGAGAGAGAGAGAGAGAGAGAGAGAGAGAGAGAGAGAGAGAGAATCACCGAGAAATTGGGCGTGCGCGTCTTTATATAATTATATAGATATGTGTTTTTCTTCAGGAAAAGAGGGGGGGGGGGCATTGGAGGACAAGTTTAAGAGAGAGAGAGAGAGAGAGAGAGAGAGAGAGAGAGAGAGAGAGAGAGAGAGAGAGAGAGAGAGAGAGAGAGAGAGAGAGAGAGGGTGAAGATCTCATCTCTCACTTTAAAAAAGGAAACGTAAAAAAAGAAGAAATTAACAACAGAAAAACAAAAAAATGTAAAAAGCAAAAATCGAAAGTCAGCCCACAAGTTGTCAATTCGGAAAAGAATAAGACCATTATTAGCTAAAAAGGCGCCTTGACCTAGTGTGATCGGAAGCACGAGGAATAATGTTTTTGAACGAACACTCGTTGAAAACGCTCGTGTCATCTTTCTTGTTTTCACGCATCGATTATTGCAATGCTTTACTAGCT